TGATAACAATTATTCACTATTGAATCTTATCCCCATCTCTTTTTACCAGACCCATCTAGACAATATGAAAACCATTCAGTGGGGACTCTGTCTTTCCCCCCATACTCTTAAACTAAATTCCCTCTTGAAATCTTGTAAGCCAGTCACTTTGTGCCTTTATTGCCTCCTCATTTTAGGTAGCCAATGTCTAAGTTGCCTGTCCCTATCTACCCTGTGTACAGATGGGATACCATTGATACTTGATGTGAAGACTCTTTCCCTCTCTGTTGGTATTTAGAGTAACTACCTCTCTGAGTATAGGTCAGGCTCATCAAATTGTAGCAATTTACCCTTGTTTCCTTTATTAAAAAAAAAAATTTGTTTTTGTTTTTGTTTTTTTGCAATCTTCCTCTAGTTGAGTTCTGATTATTGAGCCATTGAGGCTAAGTCAAAAGGGTACTGTCTGCATGTTTGGGTGTTCTTGTGCATCTCCTCTCACTTCGTATCAGCTGGATACTTCACTCTCAGCTCTAGCCCTCTGTGGCTATTGTCTTTGTTCATGGGCTCAAGTGTCCTCAGTCCTCACCACACTTTGGACCAATCAGCCCTTCCTCTTCTCGGTCTCATCTCCAGGTCAATGGGATTCAATGGACTGTGGTTGAACTCAGCCCATTTCTTCATTTGCTGCCTTTCCCCTCTTCCACTCACCAGTAGACCAATGTGGTAGCCAGCAAGCTTACATGATTGTGTGTTCCCTTTGAGGTTCAGTCTTAAGAGGGGAATTTGTCCTGAAGGCACTTGATTGCTTGCCTTGATGTCTTCCCGGTGAACAGCTTGCTTACTGTTGTAGTAGCCAGTCATGCTGACATTTTTGTTTTCGGTTTTTCCTGATGATCTTTCTTTGAAGATTTATCTTCTGTCACTGTAGCTGTTCCAGGCTGGTTTGCTTGTCCTTTCTAGTGGGAATGTCCCACCTCATGAAGCTCTGGATGGGACTCAGGATTCCTTCCACCTAAGGTCCTGTATGCTACAAAGGCTTTACAAGAGGCCTATTTCACTGGGCAAGTTCTAGAACCCTTTTTAGGTATTCCAGTCAGTTATAGGCTGAAGACAGGCTTACAAGTTTTCTGTAATCATGTTTCCCAACATTCCTTTCTAACCCAATCAAGTGTCTATTTTACAATAGTAGGCAAGGGAAACTAATATTCATAAGACAAACATTTTAGTATTATTTCCCCTCTTCAAGCTATACCTAGATCCCTGTATCCTACAGCCCTGTTTGTTTCCAAGGTTGAGTATGCATCACTATTTACCTCTGTCCCACTTAGGCCATGCAAACCTGTTTCAGGGTTCCCCTATCTATCTTTTTCTTCCACCTCCTCCCCCCCTTCTTGTATTGCCATCCCCAACACCCAAATTAAACCCCCCACCCCAAGCCCATTGTGGTTACCTTATATTCCATTAGTTCTTCCCTCCATTTAAGAGAGTCTATTTTATCCTGTAATCTACCTGACCTTCCCACCACCTGGATCTCTGTTCCTGTGTTTACTTTCTTTCACATTGTAATTGTTTTGACCATAGACTGACCTTCCAGATCCTCTATTTGTACAAATTTATTCTGTTCTTGACTCTTCCATTTGTCGATTGAGTTCAGGGTGATGCTACCACGTACGTCATTCTGTAGTTGTTGTCTGTTCTTATTGGTTCTCAGTCCACAGTACTTCCTTTAGGATGTTTTTCATAGCAGGGTTGGCTTTGGCAGAATCCCTTAGCTGCTGTTTATCCTGGAATGTTTTGATTACATGATTATATTTGATTGACAGCTTTGCTGGGTAGAAGATTCTTGGGTGGCAGTTTTTTCTTTCAGAGTTTCATATATGTCTCCCCATTGCCTTCTTGCCTGCATGGTTTCTGTTGAGAGATCTGAACTTAATCTGATTTGCTTGCCTTTGAATGTTACACTTCTCTTTTCCCTAGCTGCTTCTAGGATCCTATCCTTATCTTTGATTTTGGAGAGCTTGGTTATTATATGTCTTGGTGATCATCTTTTAGGGTCTACCCTTCCTAGAGTTTGATGAGCTTCTTGAATGCTTATCTTTTCACTTTTCAGGATGTTAGGAAAATTTTCTTCCAGAAGCTCTTCAACTACCTCCTCTGTGGATTTGTCTGATTCTTCCTGTTCTGGAATGCCAATACTTCTTAAGCTATTCCT